TATATGATTTGTTATTTAACATATGTAATGTAATGACATAGGGTTATTTAACATATTTAACTATTGCAGGTTTGTGTAATATTCTGAGTTTGCATTTGACTGTTTTTACTGATTTTGAGGAATACAGAATCTTTTTTTGTGCAGTGAGAGTAAATGCATGTTCATAGTTAGTCTAGAACTACAGTAACATGTTCACACAGCACACACAACGCCTCTGCACTTACTCCCGATTTCTCTCAACATGGCAACACAAGAGCTGTCTTTTGAACGAGCGCACCTTTTTTTAACAACCAAAAAGTGGCTGTTTCGTTGTCTGTTGAGGAAGTACAGACATTCCTCTCGTTGATAGCAGAGGAGGGAATCCAGCGAGAGCTTGATGGGGCGACGCGGAATGAAAAATTTTTTCAGGTGTCGCGGCAGTAGAGGTGGCGCAACTATAACCACATGTGAATAATCCCGCCCACTCTAAAGCGGTACTAAACTGCAGTGGAAATGCAAACCGAGCCGAGTCGTACCACGCAGTGGAAAAGCGCCAAAAGTGGCGTTACTCATTTGAAAAAGTAGCCTAACTCAGATATTTCCTTCTAAATTAAAAAAAGTAATGCATTACTTTACTAGTTACTTCAAAAAAGTAATCTGATTACGTAACTTGCGTTAATTGTAAGGCATTACCCCCAACACTGCTGACCACCAGCATCTAGCAAATAAAGCTTATTAGTGCTGCTAAATAGTGGTCGGCCGATATATCGGCCAATATTTGACATTTTTCAAATATCGGCATCAGCCGTTAAGTTTTCCTGTTTGGCCGATGCTTTCGAGTCAGGACTTTTATTTTGACGGCACTGAGAGCGGCTGCGCCTGAGAAGACAGCGCTTACATTCTCCCTCTTGTTCGCTGTTGTCGTAACAGTTCTGTCTAATACGGATAGAAGTCTGTCTAATAATTAGATAGAACGGTTAAACAAAGGAATTTAAATGTATACACAAAGTATTATAACGATTGCTTTTATATTATTAGTAATAGAAAGGCAAACATTCTAATACTTTCTTGTTTGCCGTCAGCATTCAGCAAATACGCATTTATATCATTTAAACAAATCTTTGAATGGCCAATGAACATTTAATTTCACAAACCTTGCAAACTTAGTCGGATCCAGTTGTGAGATCTTGTGAAGTGTGCATTTGTATCCTGCATGATCGTGTGTTCTCTGCATGACTGTCGGTCCGTGCCAATTGAATGCGGACAGGTGGAGAGTTCAGCTTCACTGGAGATGCGCGATCAACAAACTTTAAACTCATGATTTCAAATTATGCTGCGCTTTATGCATTTGCCCACCGCTATATTCATGTCATTACCACTGTGTGCTGTATGTAAAATGAGTGTTACCTTGGCTTTATTTGAAAAAATATGATTCCCAATGCACACAAACTTCCCAGAATACTGAGTGCCCTGTTGGTTACAGTGTTTACGTTTTTATTAAATATTTATTTATTTGTGAAAAATACTTTGTCATCTAAAGTATAAGTACGTTTATTTAACACATTTATTTTTTTATCCATTTTCAAATGATTTCAAACCCTTAAATATTAATTAAAATAAATAAAATGATATCGGTTTTATATCGGCCATCGGCCACCCTGCTTTCCAAGATGTCGGCTGTCAAAAAAAAAACAATATCGGTCGACCACTACTGCTAAACTTAAGTGACATTCAATTTGTGTTTGTAAATGTATTCCATGAGTTTGTTGTGAACGTAATTGTAAAGGAACTGCCTGAATTCTCCTGCATAATGCATGAAGCGTTCTACAGCAAATGTACTGACTGAGCTGCCTTGCTGATAATAGCTGCTAAGCTGTTGGTAGTTATATACACTGAAATATGTTCCTATACAAGAAATATAGGCAGATACAAACTGGTGTGCTTGTTCTGACAATCATCCTTTAATCACCATTACAACTAAAACCCAAATAGCCTTTAGTCCATAATTTTCATCTCCCCAACCTTGAAAGCATTACATTAACCGTAGGTACATGCCATTTAGGTTACTGCCAAAACTCCAGGCTTAGATTTTACACACACAATTGGTGAGACGTTAGAATACCCAATCCAAGACTGACAATTTTACAACTAAATAGTCTAATAACATTTTTATCTTCGATGAAATCTTACAGTGCTTTACCTAGACTAACATTAATACTACTGTCAGTAAAAATCAAACAAGAAATTTAAGTCAACCTTATTTTTTACCATCATTTCTCATTGCAAAGACAAAATAACAAATTCCTGGACAGAAAAAAGGCTTTCCCCTCATTCTCTTCTCTTGCACTAATATTCAGTTTTGCCATCAAAACAATAAACTAAAGTGTAAAATATAATAAAATAAAAGAGTACATTTTAAATATAGTACATATTGCTCTCACTTTCTTTTCGTTCCAAATGCAGGCATCCATATCAGTCACTAAACTCTTGGTTTAGAATAATTTAGAGAAAATTGTGCATATGGTTGGCCTTATAATTCCTATACTGTCTAACACGTTAAATAAAAAAGAATAATAATAATTAATTAAAAAAAGTGAAGGATCAGCTAGAGGCACCAGTAAACATGCATCATGGCATCATTTTCTGACAGAATCAGAGTGTTTAGATGCAAACAGTCGTTTGGAAAAAGAGAAAACTAATGGATTTAACGTTACTCATCATCTTATAATCTCTACCCATAAGCTATTGCACTCATTGGCCTATATATATATATTTAAGAGACATTGAAGCATGACCTATTTCTAGAGGCTTTTACAATCCGTTGCTTGCTCAGGGTAACTTCTCAAAAATCAAAGTGGTCGACAAATAACAGGAAGAAAGCCCTGGTTTGACCTCGCTAAAGCATTAAAATCTCTGTATTTGTTGGTCACGGCGAAATTAGAGCCGATCCTATTTGAAGTTTTGTCTGACTAAAGCGAAGCATGAGGAGACGGGTCATGACTTCGGGCTGATTTTGTAATGAGCTTGCTAGAAAATGTCTGCGAAAACCTGGCATGAATTACAAACAGCCGATCAATAACACGTTTCACACCTCACAAAACAGATTAAAGCTGGTCAGCCGAGCCACATGTGGTTTGTTCATAAACGTCTCATACCTTCTACGCTGTCAGAACACGAGGTTCCGATGCCGGTATCGCCACTGTCCGAGGCAGCGCTGTGACGGCGCCCGCGGCTGCTAATGCCAGCGGCGGAAGAGGAAGCTTGCCATGCCGAGTCGCAGCCAGGGACCCATCCAGGAGAGGACGTGCTCGAACCTAGGAGACAAACAGAGGGATGTCATGTCCAACAAACACATGATTTTAAACTGTATCAGCATTTAAACTACTTTGTTTATTCACAATGAAAGTCGTTTAGTTAAGTGAGCATTCACAAATGACACAGAAGTGCAACCGGACACTACAAAAGCAACTCTGAGGGCTGCAAATCTCAGATAGACATTACAAACACATAATGTCAATGAAATGAGATGAATGTGAACAAACATAGGGTTGAGAATCAACAACCGGTTCTTATTCAGAATCATTAATCAAAAATAAATAAAAATGTAAAGAACTCCCAAGTAAACCAAATGTCATGGAAATCTGAAAAAAAAAGGTACAATTATGTACTTAAGGTTTTTCAGCTTGACTCCGATTAATATTGTTAATATTAATCATATTTGTTTGATTATTAACAGTTATTAAAATCAATAGTTTTGTTTTAGTGTTTTATACACACACACACACACACACACACACACACATATATATATATACATATACATACACTGCCATTAAGATGCCTGGGGTAAGTACAATTTAATTTATTTATTTACTTTTAAAATAAATTAATACTTTTATTTTGCACGGACACATTAAATTGATCTAAAGTGGCAGTAAAGACATTTGTAATGTTACAAAAGATTTCTATTTCAAATAAATGCTGTTCTTTTGAACCTATTATTCATTAAAGAATACCGTTTTCAACATTAATAATAATAAGAGATGTTTCTTAAACACAAAATTATCAAATTAGAATGTTATATTACTGGAGCAATGGCTGCTGAAAATTCAGCTTTAACATCACAGGAATAAATTACATTTTAAGATATATTCAAATAGAAATTTGTATTTCAAATTGTAACAATTTCACACAATATAGGTGTTTTTACTGTAAAATAAATGAGAAGGCTAAGACTTTTAAAAACCTTTAAAAATCTTACGGACCTCAAACTTTTGAACGGTAAACACAAACTAAACAAAACTTTTAATGTGGTTTAGAAAAATACTAGAATTATACATATACAAACATCACCTCTAACATTTTTTTGGGCCAAAAACTACTAAACCACTAAAACAAGGTGAAGTTCAGTGAACCAAATTGTCAGATTTGCCCTAGAGGGCTCGTCCCCAATTTCTGCTGGCCTAATCTATTCTGAGGTGTAATCCGTTTAGATACCACCATTTAGGCTGTCCCCCGTAATGCCTGGCAGGAAAAAAGTGGAATATATAAACTTTCTTGCCAACATCTCTGAACATTTTGATTTGATTCCAAATAGTGGAGAAAAAAAATCTTAATACTGTTTCATAATTCAACGTTGTGATGACTACAACAGATATATTTTTTGAGCTGATCATTAAAGGGATAGTTCACCCAAAAATGAAAATTTGATGCTTACCCCCAGGGCATCCAAGATGTAGGTGACTTTGTTTCTATTAAAACTGTGGAAAGTATAAACATCATCCTTTTCCTTTCGGGTACAGTCAGCAAATTCTATACTCCTAACACACGCATTTTTTTTGTGCCATACATCTGAGAAAACTCACAAACTGAGTTTGAAGCATTTTTCCCTGAAACGGCAATAAACAGAAAAACAAAAATACTTCAGATGCTTTATATGAATCTCAAACCTACAAGAGTTCAAGACCAGCAGAAGCCAAGCTCCAGCTGAAATCACTAAGGTCAGAACCAAAATTAGGTCTCCATAATTCCTGGGTGGAAAACCTCAAGTTTATACCAGTTCATATGAAAGTGATCCACATTAGCCATCGTGACAGAGTAGCAGATCTGTAAATATCCCGGGTAAACACAGGGCTTGTTGTTGATGAGGCTCCAGCAACTTCTAGACCACCAACAGTTATGCAATGTGATATGAATTATTAAAAACACCGGCAGAGAGACTAGTCAGAATTTGTTGCATCACTGTTCAATATTTAGACAACTTTCAAACACACAAAGTGTAAAAACACAAGCCACTAAATACTGAACACGTGTTTGTTTGGATTTTACTGTCACCACTGTATAATTTGTTTAAAAAAATAAAGAAAAATAAAAAAAAGTATAAGAAAGATTGGACTAAAGACACATGTAAGCAATTTATACGTCAATATTTGAGAGAAAAAATACAATTATGTAAATCACAAAATGTATATATATTTTAATGCAATATTTATAAATAATTAAATAAACTTAAAAATAAAATTCCAATTTTTTCTTTTTTATTATACATCTAACATTAATAGTAGCTACAAACCTCAAACAAAATAAATATTCTAGATAAGCAAGTTAATACTTTGCTTTAGAAAACCAAAAATATTGTTTGTTTATTTTAGGGGAAAACATTGTATACCTCTCTCTCTCTCTATATATACATATAGGCCTATAATATGCCATCTGTGTGCCACAGCACTGCATATATTAAAAAGACCCCCCTATTAAAGAGACAGAACACTTGTGTCCATATCTGACTCAAAGACAAAGCTGAAGGTGACACGAGTGATGCTGTCAAACCATCACAATTCAATAACATCACAACGCTCATAACGGAACACCGCGTATCTAATATATCACAGCCTGAGAGCGCGCGGAACAACAATACACGCTCCGTTACACGCGATCAAATATGGCTGTTCCTATGAGCATATCTGGCTTACAGTGTGTCATTACACAAATGCTAGGCTCTTACCTATCTTATACGCGTCGAATCCGTCCTCAAAATCATTCCTGGCCCACATGGTGCTCGGTTTCACACACTGAACCGATAGACCCGACACAACGAGCCGAGATAAAATGCGCGACCCCACTAAGAAGAGGAGGGGGGGTATTTAAGTGAAACCGCATTCCATAGCCAGCAATGACTGGAAGAACCTGCGGATACAATCTGAAATCAACGCGTTTATATGTCGCTACGCGGTAGTCCTGCAAGGCTGGTGCGTATGTCGCAGATTTGAACCGGAGTTATGAACTAGCATTCGCTGTGACTCGCTAGCAGCTGCATCGCGAGGATGTGAGCTCACTGCCTGCAGCTCCCTCCAGAGATCCGCGGAGAAACGCAATCACAGTCCGAGAGCGAGCGACACTGGCTCCTCCCACTCAAAGCCACACTCTCTACTGTAAGTATATGAAGAAAAGACCGGGGCTAGTTGTCACACGGGTGAAAAGTGTCTTAACCCTTTAATGGCCAAGAATTCCTCTGAAATAAGTCTGAACATTTTCAAACGCGCCAGCACTCATGTACAGTTTGTACATTTGAAATAAAATAGATTTTTTAAAAACTGAATTGCCAGGAAAAAAAACAACTGTACAGTTGAAAATAAAACCAATATTTTTTAAATAGATAAATAAAAGGAAAAAAGTTATCTGAAATTACTTATTTTTATAACTTATGACCTTTTATAATACAAAAATATATATATACCTCTCCCCAGAGCAAGTAGTTCTAAACTTTCGTATATTTATTTATTACTATTTGTTGGCCAAAATAATGGTTGGATCCCTCTGCATTCTTTTTTTTGTACCTTTCTTTTTTGAATTGTGGTTCCAAATTGAAAATTCATCAATTTTGCTTAAAATTCTACAATAGGCTTTTTAAAGGCAGGCTCCCATTGTGACAACATCTCTCATTTAATGTAACTTTTATAATGTAATGTATTAGTGAAGTATTTTTTTTTTCTTAAAGACTTAAATGTATATGCATGTATATGTTAAACTGACTTATGAACATGGAATATAAAGTACTGGACTAAAAAGTGAGACAATAACTAGCCCCGATCTCCCATACAGTATGAGTGGAGGTGATATACATAAACATAAGCAAATACTTATGTATATATACTTATATAGGTAAAGTTTATTTTCAAATATTAATACTCTTATTTAAAACTGATCATTTTAATGGATCTTTTAAATATTATGTTTTTAATGATTTAAAGTTACTATAAAATGCTATATACTAATATAGAATGGTATTTCTTGCCAAGGTCTTGAGGGGATAAAATTAAATGTACCCATGGTTCAAATCAACAAACACACTCACCCCTATTCAGATGGCACATTCTTTCACAGGGAAACACAGCAGAACTATTTATATTTCAGGGTGTTTGAGACTGTTTCCACTCCACACCTGTTTGACAGACAGGGTGATTGTCCAAGCTGCCCAAATGGGCCATTCCTTTCTCAGCATTCCTTTGTAGCGTTTGCATCTATTTACCCTGCTGTCTCATTACACTGAGACCTTCAGTTTACAAGAGTCTCATAGGAGAACTAATTGAGAGTTTTTCATGTGCTGTTTAAGACTGCAGGAAACCCTGCTTTTGTCTCTTGTGCAACATACGATACGTACAAAACATAAGGATCGCTGCTCTGATTTTTCACAATATCCACATTGCATAACACATGGCATAACACCTACAATTATCACGACTGCTGCGGAAACAATTGCAATGTGTATTTACATCAAGGTACCTCAACACATGCAATAACTAAAATTTGAGATGTGTTTTGTACACATAACATTTAATCAAAGCATGTCAAACTGCACACAACAGAAAAGGAAGACAAACAACGGTCAGTTGTCTGCTTAATTGGGTCTATATTAACAGAAAAAAAAAATCAGCCTCAGGCAGGCGAGAAAAAACAGGGCTGCATAATAACTGTATTATCCTGGTGCAATTGCGCATAATCTCACAATTATGAACCTGCATTCAACTGCAATTACCCCATTCTGACAACACTGACAATTTCAAATCCAACAGCTTCTCTGATGAAAAAATACTAGTAGTGCCTTTAAAAACTTTTTTTTCTGGACAAAATTTCATTTGGGCTGGAGTTATTTAATGATAGGAAACAAATACAAAAGCAAGATACATTCAATACAAACAATGTTTTTCAAGGTGCAAACCATTGTGATGAGCGATTATGATAAGCCTTTGATAACTAGATAAATATGATATAAAATGATACAAGGACCAGGCTCAAATGAATTTCAAAAAGCTTTACCCAGGGCATACCACCACAATAGTTGCATAAGCTCCTGTCCTCAGCGCCTATTCATCAGATTTATTATGCATACAGTTCCATGTCGCCAATTTGACAAATCAGTTCTGTCAGCACAGGAAAGGACTGCACCTGACCTGCACTTCATTTAAAATGTAATGTTTCTTAAAGGAATAGTTCACCTTAAATTTATATACTATATTATATACTCACCCTCATGCTGTTCTAAACCTTTATGAATGTGGAAGACAAAATTCTGAAGACTTGTACTGTTCACTTATTTCCACACAATTACATTAATTGGGAACTGGAGCTTCAAAAAGCACATAAAAGCATTAATTAAAGCTTTTTTATATACAAAAATATTATGAATGTAGTTCGTTTGACTTTGCATGATTAAAATAAAATAAAATAAAAATAAGTCTGATTCGTGAACAAATCTTTTAGATTGTGAACTGGAGCAACCGATTCATTGAAAAGATCCAATTCAAAAGTTCCGCAGCACATCTTTTAGAAGCTTGAAAGCTTCAACCCAATTTCACTGCACTTGTGTGGAAATCTACGTTGGCCCAGTAGTGCAGAACCCAACGAAATCTCCACAACACAACGGAAACAAGCCACAACACAACAAAATTAGCACAACACAATGGAAACAACCCACAACACAGTGGAAACAAGTCGCAACACAACGCAAATTAGCACAACACAATGGAAACAAGCCACAACACAATGAAATTAGTTGCAACACAATGGAAACAAGTCACAACACAACAAAAACAAACCACAACACAACGAAATTAGCCCTATATGTTGTGGCAATTTCGTTGTGTTGTGGAGATTTCGTTGTGTTGTGCACTACTGGGCCACTGTAGAAAACAGCAACCAGTACTATTCTGCAAAATCCTTCTTTTGTGCTCTATGGATGAGAGAAAGTCATACAAGTTTGGAACGACAAAGGAGTGAGTAAATAATGACAGCGTTCATTGAGGCTAAGACTGCACTTTGAAAAAGGCTTCTGCTACATGCTGGGTCTTGCTAAACGGCCACCTGTGTATATGGAAACCGTATTGAAGAAGTGAACAAAGACACCGAGCAGGAGTCTTGGTACTGGATGACACTGAGGCCTGTCTCCACAACAACAGAAGCTCTGAGCCACAGTTCTGGCCCACTCACTCCACACACAGAGCAGCTACACTTCATAACACAAAGAGCGCTCACACTCCATTTGTGAACAGCCATGGTGTGTGATAGTGCCAAAATGCACTGAACATATCTCTGCTAAGGAAAGCATCACAACTATTACTACTGCTCATCAAACTTCAGCACATAACTTCTCCCAGGCTGTTTTGCTACAGACATAAATGATAACTTAGCTCATGCAACTTATTGAGGAGAGGTGTGCTATTACTTTCCTAAAGGCATTTTACACAGCTGAGTTAAGGCTGCTCTGTGCCTGCTTAAAATTCTGTGTAAAGACATAATGTCGCATAAAAGCCAGACTAAATTATGCCTGCTCTCATATGGTTATCTTTGCTGTGTAAATGCATTCATGCCACCTCTGAGCAGTATTAATCAGTCTGTGTAAAGACACCTAAAAGCCACTTCAGAAGTGTCCCTGTGTCACCTTTGCAGTGTCAATTTGGCACGAGTGACCTGATTTAAAAAAAAAAAAAAAAAAAAAAAAAAAAAACACTGAAAGTGGGACCCGAATATTCTAGAAAGCAAAATATCAGAGATTTGAAGGTGCACCTTTTTGACTTGCGTTGGTAAGTAAAAACCTACCAACCACCCAGAACACCTAAGGAACCACACATCAATGCTCTGACAACTACCAAGCATTCAAAAATTATTTTTTTTCGCCATTTTGTAGATAAATGGTCCATACAGCAGCATTTGTGGAAATATGTTGTACTTGAAACAATACAATATTACAGAGTCAATTGCCACCTATTAAAATCAACACTGGCGCAGAGTGAGATAACATTTCTACAATATTTTCCATAAACAGCAATCTCATTTTTCTAACCAGTGATCGTGTTTTTACAGAACAAAGGTCTTTGACCCTCTTGAAGATGAATGAAGGCTGTTGCTACTCCAAACAACACATTTCCTCTCAGAGGACTGAGAGAGAACTGTTCACCACGCCACCAGTGTTGACATTGACAACTTCACTCCTGTATTTTGCCACGGATCGGGGGCTGGTTTGGGAGAGAACCACATTAATAATTCCCTGAGGTTTGGAGCGAGTGGGACGTACAAACCAGGGCAACAAGAATCAGTGTTTTTGTGCATGTTATCGGACTAGTGCAGACTGCACCCAGCCCCCCACTTCCTGTCTCGCTGCCAGGAAACTAGCGGCTGCATTTAAACACAGTAGACCTGCACATGCATATGCTGTCCATAGAAACAGTACCAGGCCAAAGTATGACTGGCCAGTATTTGGTGTACTATACATTTCATATTTAAAATATATTTGCTTCATATATTCGACTTCCTGCTTACAATACCTGGACGCTCTAAACAAAGGTCTTTGCTTCTTAAAAATACACATATTAACCAGAATTCAATAGAAAAATATGCGTCAACCAATCACATATTCCGAATAACATGATTCTTGAATTCTCATTCCTATAATATGATCTTTGTCTTCAAATGTACAGCATGAAAGGTCAACCGCATTCATTACTAAGAGTCTCAAAGCCTATTTTCAAATTTAAATCAGTTCAAGTGCCAACACAAATAGCAATGCCCCATATTACTTGGCCTGGAAAGTAGAAACTTACAAACAGTTCGATTAAAACAAAAAATATAGTTGTACAAATGCAAAACTTACAGTTGTTGGTCGACATGGGAAATGCACATTATGCAGAAGTAGCGGGAGGAAGTGGTGTTTGCTAAGCATACGTTACCTTGTGGGGAACTCTGTCGGCCAATGAGATCACATGAAACGCATCACAGACACTTTTGAATAGATGTGGCAAAATGTCTTGCTTTCAAGTGTCATTAAAACGATCAATCAACTCTCAATCATTTGGTTCTTGGGTGGAATCAAAATAAAAATAAAAACTGTTGGTCTTTG